GCGGAGGCCTGGCTGAGTCCTGCCGGCGGCCCGCAAGGGAAACGCCCGGGCGAGCTCGGCGCTGCAGCCTCCCGACCCGCCAGCCGCTCCTCAGGGCGGTGCGCGCCCGCGCGGCTTCCCAGCTGCCCAGCTTGTGCTGGCTTTCTCCCGGGAACACCCTCCCCGCCTCGGACATTCCACCGGATCTAAGCATCGGCTCGTACGGATGTCCTGGGAGATGTCCTTCTTGGTGTCCTGGGAGCTCGGTCACCTGGGTGCTTTGTTCACCCATCTGAAGGCCAGGAGGGTTGAGGGGGCGAACAGAGCGAATCGGGGACCACGTGGAGACATCAGTACCAAGCGCGACCCAAACAACTGCTCCATCCAGAATTTTATAAAATGCCTCTTTGCCAGGAACACACCCCTCTATGGCCAATCCAGGCGCTGACACTAAGATCGGGTAATTATTATTTCAGAGCCATGATGATCGTAGCTACCATTTATTGAACTCCTATTATGTAAAAGGGCAAATGCAATAATCCAGGCGGCTCGGGCACAGAGAAGAAAGTCTAATAAGCAGGTGATGGTTATAAGCTGGCAAACAGCAGCTGGGGTCAGGCCCAGAGAGGACGCCTGTGCTGAGCGCCTTCTTCACTGTCGCATCATCCCGCCTCCCCTCCTCACCTCCAACTGATACATCCCTGGAAGCAAGCTGGCAAGACCCGTGGGGTCTTTCAGGCAGCAAATCAAGGGCCGTAATGCGTTTTTTTCTTTGACGTAACATCAGACAAGACCATTGATTCTTCAGCCTGGCTGCATGTCAGAGTCACTTGGGTGCTCTCTGTAGGCCCGGGCTTCACCCCAGAACAATATTGAGCCCTATGGTTTTACAGATTGTACAGTTCATAGAATTTCACTCCAAACTAATTGGAATCTGAACTTTAAATAGGTAAATACATATATAACGTAAGCCAGCTTCATGATTCTATGGCACTTTAGAATCAGGAAGGGTGCAGGCAGATATATCTATCTCAGTCACTGCTCTTAGTTTTGGGGAGAGATCCCCTCTCCCTAGAATCGAGATTAAGCCATCTCCTGGAAATAGTCACAAAAATCAGTGGAGCACAAATAAGACAGTGTGTTCTTGTTGACTGCATCTCATATAGTCTTCTCTGCAAGGGGAGATAACCTGTGAGATAGTTGTCCCCCAGGGTAACAGCTGGAGAAGGAGTTCTCTGAGGTTAAGAGAGCAGTGAGAGTCTGCAGGGCAGATCCCAGTGGGGGGCCTTTACCATGACTTCATCTGTGCTCACCAGCCTACAGGTTGTGGTCCT